TAACTAGGCTCGGGTCGAAATGGTTCCTTTCGACAGGTCGTGGAAGGAGGTGCTGTTAGCGATGAAAATGACATTCGACTTTTTCAAATCCCTCTCCGTTCCAGAGCACTTTCAAGCCAATTGCAGGAATGGCCGGGCAATAAGCAATGATATGGCTTTTGAATAGTCGATTGCATTCCTTGAACCCTATTTGCTCACTGAAGACGGAATTGTTCGAGTATTCAATGTCTCCATGAACGCCCAAACAATCTCAGTTGAATACCTATTTGTTTGGCATTCTTTGTGACCTTGCCAGTATCAACAACGTAATTGTTCACAATGGCCCTACCCAGCTACTGCATGACGTACCCAGCCAACACACTCGGTCATCGGCACCTTAGCATGTGGGCTGCGACACTGCTAATCTTCGATCGTCAAAGCGGTCGGAACACCGGATACTTTTGCTCAATTGCGTGAGCGGAGCACCTTCGACTTTTTCAACTGTTCAATGAGAAGCACTGATAGCTTCGTCGCAACCAGTTTCTCACCTCCGGTTTGTCCCCAGAAGTCTATGGTTTGTTCGATTTTAGTATTCGACCGTGTTTCATCTGAATGCCAATCATCTATGAAGCAAAATGGTGACGTTTCCTCATGTTGATCAAGCCCGGTTTTTGGGATGCGCCCTGAATTCGTCTCCCATTCAGAATCGCAGAGAAGTTTTGAATGCGTATGATGCCGGTACAATGATAGGTGATAGCCTGACATTGTAGATACCAATGTTTTTATCCTCCTAGACGAGTCTGGTGTCGAGTAGCCGACCCCGGACCGATGGATATTGGTTAGTCTATATGGATATTGTTTTGGAATAACTATGAATATTCTTATATCGGTTAACCTATCGATCTGAACTGATAGTTATCTCAGACCTTTGTGAAAGCTGTGTGCTATCAAAGAGCTAAGAAATACATGAAGTTCAATGGCAGTAATGAAAATTGTTAGCAGGGCAAGCTAGATCTATAATTATGCTGTCACAAACAGCTGTTTGACATTAAAAATCAGCTTGTCAGACTTTACATGAGAAGAGGAGCTCACTAGCACAAAACGAAGCGGCCTCTAAAATTAATGTCACTGCAGACGATTACTTTACCCTCTAGCTCCTTTAACTGGAGCAGAAAAAAAATAATCCCATTAACTTTCTTTTGAGCTACCATGAAGATTCTAGTACTACTCAGACTAGATTTTGCTCATCTGAGGAGATTCACGTCCTGGGATCACTCAGGGAAATTGCCTGATCTCAAAATCCCATCTCTTAGATTGACCCGGTTGCTGATCTTCCGGCTCAAGAGCAAGCCCATTCTTTGCCCTTCAGTGATCGTCTGATTAGCCCTGTTGGGATCAGGACCATGGTCGAACGGCTGTTATGAGTGGTACCATTCCTTCTTGATTCCTGTACTGTATCCGCACCCATGTTTGCCCATATATCCAGTCAATCTAGCTTCCAACTCATCTCAAAAGGACTGAACGAGATCTTTTTCATAGTGCCCATTAGGACTGTTTGTTAGCAGTTTGAAAGCTAATACATATTCGCTCAGCTCAAGGTCGATGGCTATGTTTTGCGGTAGGCCCAGGAGGTCCATTTGCTTTTTATAAATTGTTTGCTTATTGTCGTGGGATAGCATGTCTAAGTATTGGGCCAGGGTCACGCTACTCTTGGGTATTTCTTTTGTTGAAAACAGCAACTTGGATGGACGAGTTCGTTAGCCAGTTATGATTCTTAGCCAAGCAAGCCGCCATTTGGATCTATGTCTGTTACAGAAGCTGTCTGAGACACGATTTTCAACTATCGATTGTTTTTATTTTCATTTTTGTCAGTCCATTAGAGGATTCGCCTATGATAATGCATATCAATTCCTGGATTTTACCTAATATTTCTTTTCCTGAACTGCTTCCTTAAACTGAGTTCTTAACTCTGCCCAAAGCTTGAGCTCTTGTTTTCGATCCTCCATCTTGCCATTGCTACCACATCGCTTAACTCTGAATACCTACAATTACGCATTATCGCCTCGAAGCCCTTTGACCGTTGTGTTTTTTCCGGTTTTTCCCTCAAATGGTGGCCTCTTTTCAGACGTTCAGTGGCTCAGTGGTGATCAGTCATTGTCTGGGAAGCAGCAAGATGAGTTTCGAACAGAAAACTCTCTGCTGTACGGTCAACATAGCCGTGATAGTGATGTGTTCACTGGAGATGACTGCAATCATCGTCGGCTATCTTACAAGTATGGCTTCTAATTTGGTCTTTTGCGTTGATGAATATTTTCCAATTCTATTTTTTTTCTTTTTTTTTTTTCGGGAGGGGTTGAGTTTTCCATTCATGACTGGTGGGAGCAAAAAAGCT